AAGAAGGGTGGGAAGGAGAGGGAGGAGGAGGTGGTGGCGTCGATTAGTGCGGGGGTGGAGGGGAGTGGGGAGGGGAGGAGGGAGAGGGCGTAGGACGGGAAGGAGAGAGGAGAGGAAGGTGGAGGGAGGGGGATAGGAGGGCGGAGGCTGTGGAAGGTTTTTGTTTCAGAACAGAAGCCGCTGTGGGGATCGATGGAAGACATTGGCGGACGCGAAGGGAAGGGGAGGGAGGACTCGGATGGCACATGCATTGTATTATATTGAGCAGCTTGATGGGAGTGCAGGGTGGATTATTATTTATATTTAGAGATCTACATACCTAGCCCCCATTCTCATGTATTATTTCATCAGTTCCCTAGAACTTTTAATTTTAATTTATGACCAACGTGAAAATATAAGAATCGTATATACTTACGTTCGTGTCGCCCAAATTTTATGTATTTACATATCTACCATCTAAATTTTAATTTATACGTCACCTAAAGCGTTCGTCAATAAAAAATACTATTATTTGGACTTATAAAAAGTATAATCAATTTTTTGCATGCTTTTGCATGCTTTATATATATATAGAGAGAGAGAGAGAGAGAGAGAGAGAGAGAGGGGGGAAAGGAGCATTATTCGGGTCTCTGCATGTTAATCACAAAAGTTAAGTACATAGTGTTGGGAGAGGATTTCTGGAATCTAAAAAGACATAATACAATACGCACTCATAAGGGGGTTTCTCTACCACATTACAAAATCTCTCAATAGTACAAAAAAAATATCAAAACAAAATAAATACCAAAGAAGGTCGTATACCCAAAAAAGAAAGGCTTAGGAAAAAGGAAACTACAACGTTGAGAGCCCAAAATAATAAAAAACCGAGAGCTTCTCCAATAAACACAAGCTGCTCCAAAAAATTGAGACGGCACCAATGTCTGAAAACAAAGTCCGCAGAAAACGCCTCTATAACTTGAAGAAAACTATGTATCCCTGTAAATTTGTAACGTTGTTGTAGAGATAACAAAAAAAAAAAAAAGAAACTTCAACGAGGCAATAATCGAAACAACAACAGCAAAGGTCAGGGAACCCGCAGGCAATCAGAGTCATGAAGTTGTAATCAGCCATTAGAGGGCAAGCCATAGACATG